CTAGCATCTGCTTTCTCAGAGCTGCTCAGCAGGGTTTGGACTGCTTCTGAGTTGGAGAGAGAGAAGTTATTTGGAGCAGAAGCCATTGCCACCACACCTACTACCAACAGCGCCTATGCCAGTGGTGAAAAGATCAGGGAATTGTATGTATAAAGTCTTTGTATGTATAAAGGTTCTGCCCTGGACCATGGGAGTCATTCCTTCTCTGAGGCTAGGATAACAGATATTTAAGAGAAGGGAGGTGGGAAAAAGCCAAAGCAGGAGCAAAATTGGTATGGAAACTGACAAACCCACTCCCAATACTCAAAGCCAAGTGTAGAGGGCCTCCTCCCTGAAGCCCTTGCCCTCTCCCCCTTCTTCCGCTTTGGAAAGTCTGAAGCGCCTAGAAAAAAACCGTTTTTTTTTGCTCCCCCCCCCCATCTCACCCCACCCCATTATGCAGCCTCTTGCATAACTTTGAGAGTACAGGGTTTGATGGGCTCCAGATGTGGAGGTCGGGGTGGGGGAAAGCAAGAGGAAGGGAGGGTGTCAAGTCCTCTCAGCCCTGCAACTGTGGGAACCTGGAGCCTGGCCCCAGTGGGAGATGAGAGGGCACATTGCACAGAGCCTTTGTCATGGGGTCAGCCCGGCCGAGAGTGGGCGGGAGGATAGGGAGAGGGGAGCCTGCTGCTTGGCCCTGCCTGAACCCCTGCCTCAGCCGCTTCTGTGGCCAATTCATTTGTCCCTGAAGCAGCTGGAAGAGACTCCTCCTTGAGCTGCCTCTGCCTTAAGAGAAAGGGTGGAGTAGGGAGGAATTGAGCCATTCTGTATACACAAGATCCCGTGAAGGGACCCAATCTATGTTCTGGTTCCCCTGGCCTCTGTACATAATAATGTAATAATAATATCGAACAATAATATGGCATTTTAAGATTTGCAAAGCACTTCATAAATATCTCATTTTATCCTCCCAATGATCCTGGGAGGCAGTACTATTTTTATCCCCATTTTACAGATGAGGAAACTGAGGCAGAGAGAGGTTGTGACTTGTCCAGGGTCACACAACCAGTAAGTGTCTGAGGAGAGATTTGAACTCAGGTCTTCCTGCCTCCAGGTCCAGTGCTTGTTCTCCAGCTACTTGACTTTTCCAACCCAGGCCCTTTTTCTGAAGGTAATGACTTTATTGGCATCACAAAGATTTCTCAGCCTGGTTAGGATGAGTTGGAAGTTTCTTAGCATTTCTTTGCTGAAGTGAGCTTAGGTGGTTTCCTTAAGCCTGCTAGACAAGAGAGGGCCATCCTCCAAAACCTAGAGAGTGTTTAGCTCACATGGCATACGTTTTATAGGAACTGTCTATAGCAGGACACAGTCTCTGCCCAAAAGGCACAAGTGGCTTGCCAGTGGCAAGAAGTAGGGATCATGTAGGGTGTGAAAAGCAATCCCTACACTCCCCTCCTCCACATGACTCCCACACTACCCAGTTCTAGTCAGCTGCAGCCCTAGGGGGGGCCTCCCTGCTGGACATTGGTCCTGTTAATAAGTGACCAACAAACCAGCCTTCTCCTGTTTTGAGTGTGGGAAGGGATGGGACTGAGGGGGGGTGGGGGTGGTGAACTGTTGGACCAGCAACTGAGTCCGGAGCTTTTGGTTTCCCTCCGTTCTTGAGTAGAAAGACCTTTGTCTTTCTGCCTTTCACTCTGACTGAAGTTACCTCCATTTGGGGGTTGGGGTGGGGGTGGGGTCTCAGTTTTGTAACAAAACATTTTGTGCATGTTATACCTTTCCATCTCTGTCCAAAAGTTTCCAGGAGAGGAGGGAGATTCCTGAGAGGAGAGGGACAGAATTTACAAGTCTCGTAATCCAGGGGTCTGCCTTGCAAAGGCTAAGCTCTACGTTGAGGATCTACTGTCTTAGGCTAGCATTGGGTTTCTTAGGGTAACAGCTCCTGCCAGGTTCCGTGTCTAGATTGTTCTCGGGTTTCCAGCCCCACTTCCTTTCCTCACCAAGCCTCCCTCAACCAGGCTTGGGTGGTGTTCCCCACCCCCCACCCCCCTATCCGGACTACAACTCTAATCTAACAGATTTGGTATGGGGCTGCAGCAAGAGACATCTCTAACCCCTCAGGTATGGCTGCTCAGAACTGGATGAGTGAGAATATGGAACAAGGACACCTGAATCCTGCAGTTACTGATGAACTGGAAGTCAGTCTGAGGACAATAATGGGGACAAGCAAAAGTCTTGGGGGTAAATAAATGGTGACTTATGAAGGGATAGAAGATACAGAAGTTTGGGAATAAGATAGAGACAAGTTCGAGCTCTCAAATGTACCCTCCATGCATCATTATTTAAAACCTGAAGGGAAGGGTGATCTGGGAAAATGGGGGGAGGCCAAGCAGGAGGGGGGAGCCCAGCTGTAGAGAACAAAGCCAACGCTGTACAGCAGAAGGGAGGTGCAGCTGCAGGAAGAGGGGGGTGCCTCAGACTCCAACCCTACAACAAGGACGGCTTTTCTGGCCTGGGGTGGGGGGGTGGTGAGACCAAGATGGGGGGCGGGTCCTGGCTTGGGGGGCGGTCCCGGAGTTCTCTCCTCCTCTCAGGGCTCAAGGGGAGAAACAACCGCGTCCTGGGGCTGGAGCTCGAAGCGGCCAAGGCAAGAGAAGACACTGCCGCCCTCCCTCCCACAGGTAGGGGCACCCCCCCTCCTATTTTATCCCATCTGAGACTGGGGAGTTAGAAGAGGGTGGTGAAATGTCAGGACTTGGATGCAGGAGGTAGTCCAGGAAGGGAGTCCTAGGGGTAGAGGAGGTGTTTTTGTAAAAGAGCTCAAGCCTCTTTTCGTCAACCCCTCCTCCTCCACCCCGACCCAGAACCGAGCCTGCCTTGTCTGTATGTAGGGAGGCGCCCACACCTCCCACCCTGGCGTCAAGAAAAGCCACTGCCGCCACCACTGTTAGAGGGATCCCTCGCTCTCCCCCCCCCCCGCCCACCTGGAGGGTATCCGGACCTCTAAAAGGTTCCGCCTTCTTGCCCTCCAACTTCACTCGAGGTTCTCGCCTGTCCTGGGGACTCTGGCTTATAGGTGGATGTAAAGAAAAGGGACAGAAGCCAGAATTGGACACCTCAACCCTAAGGCTTGGTCCCCGGGACTGGCCAAGAAAGGAAGTTGGGGTGTGGGAAGGCAGTAGAGGAGGCGGGATTCTGGGGCAACCACTTCTCTTTCCTAGCTGGCTCATCACCCTCCTACGCGGCCAATGACTGGGTTGAAGGAGAGACAGGAATCCCAGGGGATCGGGATAGCACTTAGTAGGGAAACTCCTCCAGAGCTTTCCCCTATGGCCCAGCTCCTACAGTTAAACCAAGTTATCCAGGACAGAGTTCAGGAAGGGAAGAGGGAAGAGTTGATGAGCTGAGGTGGAGGCTGCTGACTATAGGATGTGATCCAATGGGAGGCCTGGGACACTGTCATTTGGGAAGCAGGTCTGAGCTTTCTGGACATTCTCCCGCAGACGGACCCAATCCTGGGATTACTCAGGAGGCAGACCTGTAGGGATTCAAGACTTTCTCTAGCCAAGGATGCCCGCTGAGTCCTGGGTTCGAATCTCGTCCTGATCCTTCCCGAGGGCTGGGGAAGCACCAGACCAAGCCAAATGAGCCAGGGTTTCTCTGGAGGATGGAGAGGGAGGCGGGGAGAAAAGCAGGAGTTGTCATCGGACTTTTAGAGGGGCTGCGCTGACCCAGATGAGACTCCCAGGAGCAAAATGGGAACAGAATAAAGTTGGGCCAAGGGTCTTGGGTTGACTTCCTCTCTCCCCACCCCGGCCCCACCCTGCCTTGCGGTCGTGGGATAATACTGGACAACCATACCAGGGACAGAGGGGTGGGAGAACAGAGTGGGAGACCGGGGCGGAGGGCACCTGAGTGGGCGACCAGGGGGCAGGCGGGCCGGCACACATTCTGGCCTTCTGGCCGGGTTAGCTCAGCTGTCCCGGCTGCTCGCTAGCACTGACTCATCTGCGGCGGGGGCGGGAGAGGAGCAGTCGCGTACACTCGTACTCTCAAGCAGAAACAGACATCTAACCCCCCAGGGGCCACAGAAACAGATCGCTTCTCCTAACCTCGCACCAGCCTCAGCCCGAGGCAGTAAGCTTGCCTTCATCCAGGAGGGAGTCTGGCTCTAGCGGGCGGGCCTAGGGGCGTGTAGCCCCAGCCCCCTCCCCCTGAGTTCCCGGGCAGGCCAGGCTGCTTCCCAGCCGAACAAGCGGCGCCTTCTCCACAGCTCTGCCGGGCCGAGCCGAAGAAAGAACTCTTGTCCAGGAGCTGGGAAGGGCGGGGCCGGCTGCGGCTAAGGTCCTAACACAGCCTCCTTGTCCCGGGCCAGAACTAGGAAGGGGAGAGGGACGCACTGCACAGCCCCTTGCCCAGAGTGAGAGTGGAAGAAAAGGAAGGAGGGAGGGACGAAGAGAGGGAGAGCTGGGGAAGCAGAGCCAGGTGCCCGGGCACCTGGAGGCCTGGGGAGCCGACGCCTCAGAGGTTTGGCCTCACGTCCAATCTCCCCCCCCCGCCCCAGGCAACCTGAATCAACCAAGCAACCCAAGAAAGCAGTAAACTGGCCGCAGTTCAAGATTCCCTTCTGCCTCCCCCGTCTGAGCCCCAGATCTCTTCTCTTTAAGCCTCAGTTTCTCAGACATCACATTCCTTCTCTATGTACCTTAGTTTTCTTTTCGCAGCTCCTCACTCGCTCTCTCAATACCCCCAATTTCTTTTTGTCGGTTCCTGCTGCCCTGTTGTCCCTCCATCTCCCACACTGTCCCTCTGGGCCTCATCTTCCCCATCCAGGCTCTCCTCTTCATTCCGGTCCAGTGTCCTTCTGGCTTTCCGCCACCCACCCCCTTTCCCCCGCCCCGGCCTCAGTTTCCTTCCCCTCCAGACTCCTTCCTCCCTCTACTGGGCCGGTCCTTGGCCTGGGGAGCGGATGTGCGCGGTAGGGACAGAGGGGAGGCGTTGTCCAGGCCGGAGCTGGCTGGAGTGCAGCTTAACCCAGCAGTTTGGCTTGCCATGCGGCGATCGGGGCCAGAGCGGGGTTACTTGCCTCGGGGACAGGTAAAGGGCGGGGGAAGTCACTAAGGGAAGGTTGGGGAGTTTAGAAAGCAGAGCAGGGGCTGGGGTCACTCAGGGAGCAGACATCCAAGTCCGGCCATCCTGGCCCCAAGAAACAATGAAGGAAAAGCACCTGGGTCTCTCCCCAATTTTGGCCTCTCTGGCTATGGACTTTCTTTTCTTCCTTCTTTTTTTTTTTAACCTTTCTTTGTCTTTGATTTACATCACTGACCTCGAAAACCTATTCCTTTTTTTTTTTTAACTTAAGGTTTGACTTTCCTAAATCTGACTTTCATCCTATTCGTCCACCCCCACCCCCACCCCGGGCCACCTAGACCTTTCACTTTCTCTTGAGGAGGAGAGAATGCCTAACAAGAACCCTGGGGACCCCTGGGGGTTATGGTTCAGTTGTCTCGCCTTCCCACAGAGCCCCTTCATCCCGGACCCCGACTGGAGGAGAGTCGGGGGGAGACAGGTTGATCTGGATGGGGAGAGACCTGGGGCCTCAATCAGAACCTCAAAGACCAGCCTCTGGAGTTGCCAATTGGTACCTACATACAGCACTGTGCCTGTATTGTTTCAGTACCCTCTCTGGGTCAGCTGGGCTTCAAAATGATTGAGTGGTCGGCTGTTGGAACCGGTTCAGCATCTGCAAGTGATGTCTGCCGGTGCTCATATTCTACAGGGTTCACCCAGATCACGGGGTGCCTGGTATTCTGCAAGTAAATATCTGACAATAGCAACAAATCGCAGCTAACCTGAACCCTGTTGCTTGTATCGGGAATTTGTGGGTCAGGGTGAGGTGCATGGGGTTCCCCCAGGGAGCCACGCCCGATCTAGGGTTGAGAAGCAGCTACAGGCAAAGGTCCCCCTCCCCGGTCCTCTCCCCCACCCCCCCACCTCCCACCTCCCACCCCCGACACACACTCTCACACCGAGCCTTGGTTACACCGCAAGAACCTTTTTTTGGCTGCGGGACTTAGCTGTACTTCCCAGAAAGGCCTTAGAAGGAGGGGTGGGGCGGGTAATTACAGCCCTCCGGGCTCCAGCTGGACTCGAAGGGACGGGTCAGGAGCTGCAGCGCTCGCCTAAGGGGGAGTCAGCCAGCAGGGGGCACCCTCGGGTTCCTCTGACTAAACTCCCCAGAAAGGGTAAATAGGGGGGTCTGGAGAGGTCTAGCGCTGTCACCCCAGTCTAGTGAGGCTACTTTGGAGTGAAGAGAAACGCTCTGTTATCGTAAGAGGTCCACTTTATCTTGTTTCTCTTCCTCCCAGGGGATTCCATGTCTCAGGATCTCATCTGCCTCTGAGTCACATCATCTCACCTCCCAAATTCCCCTCTTCTCTTTACCTTATCTTCTTCTGGCTCTCTCTGTACTCTGTCACTTCTTATCTCTCTTTTCATGATACCTCTCTTTATCCCTGTCTTTCCTCTGCCCTTATCTTTCTCCATCAGCATTAGCATCTATGTGAAGAAACTTCTTCCATTCACCTCTCTTTACCTTTAATTTAATTTCTCTCCCTTCTACCCTATCAGCACAGTCCATCCATCACACTCTCTCCAGCCTTTTGCGGGTCCCACACAACAGGGACTCTGACAGAGAATATTTGAGGATTTAAAATCACCCATGACCTGAGGCAGAAGCTAAGCTTCAGGTTGATAGCGAGAGGGGAGGGAGCAACAGTGGCCTAAGTCGCCGGAAACTGGTCAATAGCCTGGCATCCTAGGGTTGCGCCCAGTCCGCTTGAACCTCTTATACATGCTCTCTCTTGCTATTTAGTCCAGGGGTGGGTCCTAGGGCCAGTTCCAGACTCTTTCCCTTCAGCTTGGGTGGAAACGGTGACGTTGCAGTCGGAGCCCGGAAGGGTGGGAGCCAGGCGGGTAAAATTAGTAACACCCCTGGCTTAGCCCTTTCGGCCCCCATGCCAGAGGCTGATGCTGAGCTTCTCCTGGCTCCTGCTGCTGCTTCCTCTTCAAATTGCCTGATTGTAGGCTAGAGGAGAAAGGCAGCTAGAGGCACTGATCTGGGTTCCCCAACTTCCCCTTCCTCTCTCTTCCACCTCTAACTTTTCTCAATAACATCAAAGGACTTTTTTTTTTTTGCCATTGTCAGATTGTTCAAGGAACACGCAAGTAAGCATAGATGTGTGTGTGTGTGCCATCGGCACATATATTTGTTTCTATACAGCTCTGGTTCTTGACAAATATGTGTGGAAGAGGAAAGCATATATTTTTTATCCTGGAGAGGATATAGTATAGTGAATGGCTATACCACGGAAACACTTAGCCTTCATCCTCCCAGTGCATCTATGTGGCCCCCATGTCACCCAGTCAGTTTGTATATTTGGTCATGATAATTCCAGTATCTCCCCACTGAGTTTTGTTGCTGGGGTGGGGGAAAGGTTGAAAGGATTGGGAGTAAGAGTGGGATGAATTTTTTTTTTTAAGAGAGGATAGATCGTAAGTACCTGGGACGAGAGTATGTTTATGAGTTGCCAGGGAAAACTAATTGTTCCTGTTGTGTCCCCTTTGAGAAAATAGATCCTCGGGGCAGCTAGGTGTTGGAATGGATAGAGCACCGGCCCTGAAGTCAGGAGGACCTGAGTTCAAATCCGGCCTCAGACCAACATTTGACACTTACTAGCTGTGTGACCCTGGGCAAGTCACTTAACCCCAATTGCCTAAAAACAAAAACAAAAAAAAAAAATAGATCCTCCTGAGATCCCTGGGAGAGGAGACAAAGGGAAAGAGGGAGCTGAGAGCTCCCTTCCTGCCACAGCTTTAGCTGTGTCACCTGTTCTGAAAGAACCTCTATAAGTTCCTGTTCTCAGAAGGGTACAGTTCCCCTGAAAGATCCCACTTTTTACACACCCATTGTTGTTGTTTAGTTGTTTCAGTCCTGTCTGATTCTTTGTGACCCAATTTGAGGTTTTCTGGAGTGGCCATTTCCTTCTCCAGTTCATTTGACAGATGAGGAAACTGAGGCAAACTGGGTAAGTGACTTGTCCAGAGTAACTCAACTAGTGTCTGAGGCCAGATTTGAACTCAGGGAAAATGAGTCTTCCTGAATCCAGTTCAGGTATTCTATCCACTGTGCTACCTAGCTGCCCCAACAACACCTATCCCCAGCACCAATTATTTGAAGATCTAGGCGTTCCAGGTTGCCAAGACAAGCAGGCTCCTGGTACTGTTCATTCCTGGTCTTGGGACCAAGAAAGGGGTACACAGATCAAGGACAGGACACTGAGGAGAAAGCAGGGCATCCTGATGTGATGTTCCTATACCTGTGTGAGTGCCCAGGCTGGTGATACAGAAGACTTAGCTTAGGGGTAGCTATGATCTGTAACTGAAGAATGGGCAGTGCTATTGTGTTCTTTTCCTCTGGGCTTCTCTTTGACTGCATCTGCTTTTCTACAGGGGTAAAGACACAAAGAACAGCTTCTGGAGTGTCTCCATGTCCTAAGACTCTTGCCTGGTGATGGGCCCAAATCTTGTCCATACTATCTGTTCTTTCCTTCTCCCCACTGGCACCTTCAGCCTAACCTCTCCTTTTCTATGCCCCTAGGAATTCTGGAAACACAGAGCCATGGATGCTTTCAACAGAAATACAGCAGGCTCTGGGCGCAAGATCCAAGCCAGGGTCCAGGTGAGTTGTTACCAGGTGGGGTTTGGAAGCAGCAGAAGTAGAGTCTGGGGTGGGTAGACTGAGAGGTAAGACTGGCAGTTTGCAAGGACTGGGTTTGCTTTTGTGCCCACCAGGTCTCTGAACTGGAAAGAAAGGACTGGTGGTTAGAGTTGGGGGAGAGCTTAGTAGTGAATCTGCCTTCTTGCCCCAAGCCTCAAAATCCTATTAAGAGCTTGCTCTTCAATCTAATCTGGTTAAGTTGTTCACCCATAGAATATCCCTAAAAAAGACTTGTAACTCACTTCCAAGATGTTTTTTGAACTGTTGGAAAACATTTTGTGCTATGTACTCCTTTTCTCCCCCTCTTCTCCTTCCCTTCTCCCCCTACACATTTACCCAGCTATACTTGTCAGGTCCCAGTTTAATTCAATAAACAATACCTACTATGTGCAAGTCACTGGACATAGAAATAAACCAACAGCACCTGTCCTCAAGGAATTACAGTCTCCTGAGACCAGACCTGGGGACCTTTCTTTACCATTGCAGAGATCTGTTCTTCAGCTTGTAGTCTTAGTGTCTGGAGGCACTGAGAGGTTAGGTAAGATGCTTCGGTTGAACAGCAAGTACCAATGAATATTTATTAAATGCCTACTATGTGCCAGGCCCTCTGCTAGGCTCTGGTGACACAAAGACATATTATGATGACAAATCAGTCTCTGACTTCAGGAAGAAGGGAGAGATAACATATATACATATCAATATATAGGATATTTCTCAGAGGCTGGACTGGAACCCAGGTCTTCCTGACTCTGAGGCTAGCCCTTTGTTCACTACTCTGCCCTTACTCCTAAGTGCAGATAACATGGTAATTTGATAATATAGTAATAATAACTCATTTAATATAGCACTTTATATTTTGCAAAGCATTTTCCTAACAAGTAGAAAAGAATAGCTAACACTGATATAATGCAGTTCAAATTTATATGAGGCAGCTTGGTGTTACAGTGGATAGAGTGCTAGGCCTGGAGTCAGGAAGACTCATCTTTCTGTGTTCAAATCTGGCTTCAGACACTTACTAACTGAGTGACCCTGTGCAAGTTACTTAACTATTTGCCTCAGTTTCCTCATCTGTAAAATGAGCTAGAGAAGGAAATGACAAACCACTCCAGTAGCTTTGCCAAGAAAACCCCAAATGGGGTCATGAAGAGTCAGACATGACTGAAAAATGACACAATTCAACTAAATTTACATGGCCCTGTAAGGTTTGCATGAATCATCTCATTTGATTCTCACACCAACCTGATAAGGTAGGTAGTATTAGGTAGTGCCCCATCTCCCCAAATCACTTTCAAAGCAGCCTGCTCCTTGAGGTCAGAGACAGCTTCTTTGTGAACCCAGCACACTACCAGGCATATGGTGCTCACTTAATAAATGTTGACAGATTGACTGACTGATTAAAGTGTAAGTGACTTGCTCAAGAAAGCTCATAAATGGGGCAGCTAGGTGGTACAGTAGATAGAGCACCAGCCCTGGAGTCAGAAGGACCTGAGTTCAAATCCAGCCTCAGACACATGATACTCACTAGCTGTGTGACCTTGAGCAAGTCACTTAACCCCATTGCCTTGCCACCCCCCCCCAAAAAAAAGGCTCATAAATATCAGAGACCTGGGACTCAAATTTAGGTCTGATTCCTATGATCCTATGATTCCAAGGTCTGTATGTACTCCATTAGAAGCAATTGGTCTTGAACTAGGCCCATCCCAACCTTCCCTAGGGCTTTGTTGGGTGCTGATCTCTCCCACCTAGGTGTCTGACTCCCCAGTTATCTCTACCCTACTGAACAAAGAAGAGATACGTCAGCTAATACAAAGAGGAAACTGATGGAACAGGCAGTGAGATAGATGAACTATTTGGGGAGGGAGGGAGGAAGCAGGGGAGAATGTTATTTGGGTGTTGAAGGGTAGATAGGCAAAGCAGTAAGAACTTAGATTGAGGTTTGATGTCTCAACTCCTTATCGAGCTGATGATGCTCCCTCCTCCCAGAATGGGCCCCTGGATTTAATCGAGACAGGCAAGGGGCTGAAGGTGCAGACGGACAAGCCACACCTGGTGAGCCTGGGCAGTGGGCGCCTGAGCACTGCCATCACCCTTCTGCCCCTGGAGGAAGGTGAGTCAAGAGCTAGGTTATCCCACAAACCACCCCCCAACCTCATAATCACGACTGCTTCAAGGTCCAGAAGCCGCTGCAGGAAAAGAGGTATCTTTCCCATCACCAAGAAATGAAGAATATCGTAGTGGTGTCCCCCCTCCGACATCCTGCTGGGAAACATGGCGGTGATGCATTCCATTCCAGCCAGGTCATCTCCTCTACCGATTCTCTCTCCCTTTCCACTCCTCTTTTCCCCAACCACCTATCCTCTGACAGATAATCTAGCTCTCTGAAGGCTAGGACTAAAAAGCAAATGAGAAAGTAGAGATTCAGCAGAGGAGCAAGGACCCATTGGTCCTTGGTTAGGAGCCTTGGACTTGGGAGTTGGAAGGATGAGAGATCAGAGTAGGGGAAGAGAAAGAGGAGCTTATCCTAGGAGTCTCCAGAGAGAAGGTGTAAACAGGGAGTCAGGGTGAGTTGGGGGCAAGCTCCTGAGAAGAGGCCCAGATAGAGCATCTCTTTTGCCCTCTAGCTCCGTCCCTCCCTTCTTCTCTCTTCCTCCTCCTCTGTCCTTCCTGAGCTGTATTGTTGCCTGGGTGATCCTACATTCCTGGCATTCTCCAAATACCAGCCCCAGGGCCTCTGCTAGGGGTGGGGTGTGGGGAAGCTGTGTAGGAGGGGGAGACGATGGGTCTGAGAAGGAAGCAAATGAAGAGAGAGGGAGAGGAGCGACAGAGGGCAGGAGGAACAGGGTAGAAGGTGGCAGAGCAGAGAGCTAGGGAAAGAAGGGACCCTGAGAAGAAAGGAAGGACAAAGTGGAAGAGGACCTTGTGCAAAGAAGTGCAGAAGGGCTGGGGCCTGTTTGGAGGGGAGGGAGAAGGCCCAGGAGGAGACAGCCTAGGCCAGGGAAAGGCTGGGGAAGTAGAATGGAGAGCAGTCTATTTCTACATCTTCCTGGGGCCCAGATTGAGCCTGTGCTGCTTTTAATGATGCTTACGTCTGGGCTTCCCTCTCCTTCCCTCCCTGATCCAGGGTATCATTTCCCCTTCTGGGGATGCTTGCTACCTGTGCCGACTATGCCCAACAAAAGGAGGGGCACAGATTAGAGGAGGTGTAGGCATCTTTCACTCTACTATTGCTTCTCTTCCCTTTTAGAGGAGGAAGCAGGAGGAAAGCACATAGTATCAGTTCTGGGTCTCTTTGCTATTTCCTGCCTGTCCTTGGGCAAACACCACTAACTCTTCTTCCTCACTCCCTCCCCACCTCCTCTAGGAAGGACAGTGATTGGCTCTGCTGCTAAGGATATCTCACTACAGGGTCCTGGCCTAGCCCCTGAGCACTGCTACATTGAGAACCTACAAGGGACCCTCACCCTGTACCCCTGTGGCAACGCCTGCACCATCGATGGGCTCCCCATCCACCAGCCCACCCGCCTCACCCAGGGTAAGGCCCTGGACATCCCCAAATCTGCTGATTGATTGACTGATTGATTGATAGGGGTTGAGGGCAGGGGGCTAAAAGGTAGGTTCTAATAGGATTGAGGTTCAGGAGCTGGTACAATCCTGGTCTTAGTGTTGTCATGGAAACTTCTGGGGGTGGGGCTTATTGGTGGGATATTTAAGGGAGGTTTGTGTATATGTGCAAAGCCCTATCAGGCTGGAAGAAATATCCAGGGTTGGAAGGGAAAAAAATCCTCTACCTCCTCCTGACCTTAGCTTCTCTGCCTATCACCAGTCTTCCTTCTCTTCTTCTTCTAATGATAATAATAGTGGTAGCAGTGATAACAATACCTGGGACTGAATCAGCCTCTTCCAGATTACTAAGTGCTCTCATATACATTCTCAATTGACCCTAACAAGCCTTATGAGATACTAGTAATAATAATAGCTGGCATTTATATAGAATTTTGAATTCTGTGAAGTGCTGTACATATATTACTCATTTGTATCTCACAACAGCTCTATGAAATAGGTACTCCTTTTTTATAAGTTAGGAAAACTGAGGCTCAAAGTTACCTGACTTGCCCAAGGTCACATAGTGATTGTTAGAGGTAGAATTCAAGGATCCTTCTTGACTCCAGATCCACTATACCATGCTAAAAGTACCACTGTGATTATTCCCATTTTACAGCCGAGGAATTTGAGGCTGAGAGAGAGAAAATGATTTGTACAAGGTCACATAGCTGATAAGTGGAAGAACCAGGACTAGAACCCAGATTTTTTAACTGCAAGCCTAATGACTGTTCCCACTCTTGACTTCAGCCTTCTCTCTTCTCCTGGTCATCCCACAGCCCTGGGCAAGCAGTGGAGTTATATCATCAGTTGTCAAAGGGTACTAGAGAAGATGGCATGACAGCTGCAAAAGGCATCAGCCGGAGCAGCTAGGAATGGGAACAATGATGGTGTTTGTGTGAGAATAAGAAGGAGCTAGGCACCACTGGGAGCTATCGTCCCAGAGCCTGGGCTTCTGGGCATCCCTCTGTGGAAAGGAGAGGAAAACACCTGGCAAAGCAGGAGCAGGGTCTGGTGGTGCTGGTTACCAAAACAACAAGGAGGGAAGCGGGGGAGATATTCTCCTGTCCTGTGACAATATCGGAGAACCAACAGCAGCATCCTGGTTGCCATGGGGACTGGCATCACTTTCACTGTTTCCTGTAGCAACAGAGTATCCATGGCAGAGTGAAACGTTTGGTAACCCTGAAAACTGGGCCCCTGATTTCTATAGTTACCAGGGTGGGCAAAGGTTTTTCCTTGATTCTGCTGTTGTGTACCGGTTTTGGTTGCCATAGAAACAGGGAATCCAGCCTCTTTTCTCCCCTTTGGCCAGCATGGGAGGAAAAAGACCAAGTTAAGGGGGAGTTGTGGGTGGAGATAGGGACTCAGAACCAAGTCAGACTCTGTGGAGAAAAGGTTGGAATGACAAAACCATCTGGGTTCTCTCAGTGTGTGGTGGAGCTGGTATAGAAGGCACCCTCTACCCGCTTTTGACTGTTTTTTCCTTTTCTCGGGTTCCTGACCCTCCTTCTGATCACATACCTTTGGGGCTTTTGATCAACTCTTCCTTTCCATTAGGAGTCAATGTGCTAAATTTGGAGTCAGAAGATCTGTATTTGAGTCCTGATTCTGATACTTACTAGCTGTAGTTTGGGCAAATCCTCTAGTAAAGCTCCCTGGAACTCAGTTTTCCCAACTATAAAAGGGGATAATTATACTTGCATTCCGTATCTCACACAGTGGTTTGTAGAAAGATTTATGTAAATGTGGGTTATTGTTATTGAAGGCAGAAACATTTTTTGCTTTTGTCTCTCTCTCTCCTGGGCCTAGCAAAGTACCTGGCATATTTTAGGTGATTAATACATGCTTGGTGATTAATTTGACTGATTCATTGATATTAGTAGTTGATCCCCTGCAAAAGTCGAAATCCCCCCCTAAACCCCACCCTTATCTAGCCTCCCTCTTCACTTGTTGGTGTAGGTGACTCCGATGCCTGTTCCCCACTCTTTTTCTCCTACTTGTGCAGAAGATGAATCAACCTAACCTTGCCTCATGACAATCTGACTGACTTTGGGGAAGGCTCTAACCTTTGTGGGGCATCAAGGTCTCCAAATAAAGCAGGCAATGTGGTGTAGTGGAAATAGCTTTTGGTTTAGAATCAGAAAAGCTGCCTTTGAATGAAAGCTCTGCTATTCACTACCTGTGTGACCTTGGACAAACCGCTTCCTGGCTGAGCCTCAGTTTCCTCATCTGTCAGATAAGGGGCTGGACTAGACGTTCTTTAATATATCCTTTTCAGTTCTGACATTCTATGATATTTGGACATCTCCCTCTGGTAAGTTCTAGGCAAAGCATCTTCCCTTAGCCCTATTCAATGGGGAGAGGTGGCAGAAGAGGATTCAGAGTAGCATACCCTAAGGAACTGAAGCAGAAATTCAAGGAGTCATCAATGATGGCCCAGCTGCAACTTTCCCCTACTAATTCATGTCACATGCATGCATATGAACATGCCTGTATCTACATGCTAAGAGCAGAGTCAAAGAACTGAGGGTCTCCAAATGCTTCACCTCCACAAGTACACAGTCCATACAATGCACCCATTAACTTGCTGAGGAGTGGGAGGGTCTGGAACCAATGCTGAACTGTCCTTAAGAATTTCCTGTGCTCCTAATGACTCCTTTTTTTCTGTAACCATCATGTGTCTCCACTATCCTTTCCCCTGTCCTCCTCTCCCTCCTGGGCCTTATAGAAGGACAGGGACCAGCCCCATGCCCCCAGCCCCCTTTCCCTTGAAGCCCACCCCCCTCCCAGCCTCCTTGTCTGGACTCGCCTGTCTCTTAGGGGTTTGGCAGTCTGGGGAGCAAGTTGGGGGGGTGTGCAGAGAGACACAAAGGAGTCGGTGTTCTACATCCTGTCTCCTCCCCTTCCCTGGGGCTTGGGAGCTGAGGGTTTGCCTTGTTTCATCTCTACAGCAAGGCACCAGCCCCCTCATGCTCTCCCCCATCCTCCCCTCCCCTCATTGCTGGCCCAGCTCCGGACATTCTTCAGAGTTCATCTCCCTGGAGACTGAGTGGCTCAGATGTACATGTGGTATCTCTGTGTGTTTGTGTATTTTAGTATGTGTTTACAGATCTCAGTATGTGTGCATCTGTGTGAGTTTGGGGATCATTTCTGTGTTTGCCTAGCTGTGTGTCTTTCTGAACAAATTTTAGGGTGTCTATTTGCCATATTATACATGTATATTTACATATACATACATATATACATTGCTGTTGTTCAGTCATGTTCCGACTCTATGTGACCTCATGGACTTTTGTCCATGGGTTTTTCTTAGCAAAGATGCTGGAGTGGTTTGCCATTTCCTTCTCCAATGTGTCCCCATTTTACAGATGAAGAACTGAGGCAAATTGGAGTTAAATGACTTGCCCAGGTTAAATGATTCACACAGCTAGTAAATGTCCGAGGCCAGATTTGAACTCCTGACTTCAAGCCTGATGCTCTATCCACTGTACCACCCAGCTGTACCACCTAGCTGTCCCTAGTATGTCCCTACATACATACATATTTCTTTTCTGCCCAGACCTTTAAAATATTTCATCAGTGTGGGGAACTTCTTGTATGGAAACTCCTTCCACTGATGCAAATCAGCACCTCATCTGAAACTTCTGGTCTTAGAGAATTATGGGGGGGTGCAGAACTCAGAGGCTAAGTGGTTTGTCCACGATCACACGGCTAATTTGTGTCAGAGGCCCAGGAGGGAGAGGAGGACAGGAGGACATGAACAAGTGTCTTCTGCCTCTCTGGGAACCAGATATACCTGTATACATGCAAGAAGCTTGTGAGACTGCATTTTATGAGATTTTCACCGAAATGTACATTTGTGTATCTTGCCTAATCTATCAATGCCCTTAGTTGTTCATGTAACTGTTTGTGCCTATGGATGAATGTGCATATGGTATGAAGGGCCCATATGTATTTGTAGAAAGTAATACTAACAATAATAACTAACATTTCTAAGTACTTTAGGATTTATAATGTACTTTGCTTATAACCACTCTGTGAGGTAGGTAGTGAAAGTATTATCCCCATTTTACATGTAAGCAAACCAAGGTTCTGAGAAATTAAATAAATGTACCTATAGTCACACTGCTAGTAAGTGTAAGGAGGATTTGAACTCAGGTCACCTGATTCTGAGCCCATCACTTTTTTTTTCTTTATCATGCTGCCTTCCCCAGGCACTGTCTTCCAATCCAAGCTGCCAGTAGGTACCCCAGCCATCTCCTTTGGAAGGAGGAGGCCTCCCCATCTCTGACTGGTCCATGCCCTCGATTCCTCGTCCTGGGCATCATGCCCAGCAGTGATGGCAGTGACAGGCTCCTCAGGCAGGCACATTCCTACGGAAGGAGGCGGATAGAAGCAGATGCCAGCTTTATCCTGGCATGGTGGGGGAAGAAAGTATAAATAAGAGAGTTGAGAAGCTCCTACTTTTCCCTCCACCCTTTTTGAATGCCTTGCCTCTGACTTCTTTGCTCAGAGCAAGGGGTAGAGCCAGTAAAATAACCCAGGAGACTAGGCATCTATCTGGGACCAGGCCTTTCCATGATGGGACCACAGGGACAGCTCATAAAAGAGCTGTGTGGAAAAGCCAAGGAGGCTTTGGAGAAGAGATGAAAAAGCCACATTTCTAAAGACCCAGGATGTCTAGAGAGAGGATCCCTCACCCCCTCTTTCAGGGGAGGTTACTCTTACTTCCTTCCCACTGTGAAACTGTTCTACGTGGGCAGTGGTTTATACCAGAGCAAGCAGAGGGATTATTGGGCCTTATTGCTGTCTACCAGGAGGACATCCTTTACTTCCTTAGCAATTTAGAGTGGCTCAGAGAAACATGCTGGGTCTATAACCCAGGGATCAGTGGAATGCAGCCATCATCTTCTAAGTAATCTTTGAGAG